CAAAATAAGGGATGTCACCATGTGCCTGTGGATTTAATCAAGATACCAACTATGTCTCCATCAGCTAACAAGAAGGAGACACTAGCTTTCCTAGGCTTTAGGGAAAGTGCGTGTTCCAGGTTAATGTTAGCTTGTGAACCCTCTCCATCAAGTAATGTGGACAAAACACAATCACAGAGTGGGTTGGGTTGGAAGGGACCTTAAAGACCAGCTAGTTCCAAGCACCTTGCCATGGGTAGGGACACCCCTGAGGAGGAAAGTGACATGAGTGACTTGGTGGGCACCTGGTATCCAGCCAACATCAACCCACTCCAACAGCGAGTCCCGTAGCAGTTGCAGTTTATGTGTCAGAACCACTTTCTCTGTGACAGAAACTGGGGGGGTGTCATCTGTTGGCATCTTGAAGCTGCTGTCACTTGCAAACATGGAGATGGACACTAGGAGGGTGCACGAGACTCACCATGGTTCTCTGCACTTCTGTCTTGCTGGCTTTTCCTCTCCTGCTGTGCTGTAGCTCATGGCTGATGTCAGAAACAAGTTCCTTATGCTCTGAATCAGACCAGTCCTTATGTTTCACATCAGCAGTTCTAGGAGAATTTTCCCTGTCCTGTCACCTGTCCCACAGTTGAAATAGCCTATAAAATGTTACAAATGCTCAGTGGCCACTTCAGAGAGGATGGAACCTACCCTTCCCTATGTTTCTCCCTATTTTAAGAAGAGTGTGGCCAGCACTCTCTAGCCTGTTCTTAGGTCCAAACAAAAGATGAGAAGAGATGTAAAGCCTTTTTGTTCTGACCCAAGAACCTCTCAGCAAGGGCAAGTAAATTCCATTGAACAAGTTAAATTCTGTCTGTAAATTTGGTTTGTATTATGTAAACAATAGCAGCTGCTCCCTGCCTAGTAATGTGTCATGATTTTTCATGCATTATCTTGTCCAGGATAATAGAAACTGTTGAACACCTATGTGCAGACCAGGCAGTTAAATTAGTTTAACACTCACATTACCCCCAAGTCTTGATAAATGAGCTAGGAGGGGTGTTACATTAAGTTTGTCAAAATATCTCCTACCTCTCTGATTTGCAGGTCAGGTTGCTGTGCCTGTACAACTGTCACAGGTCTTGTTTATTCTTCAGCAGGTTTAAACAATGACAGCATTGACCAGCCTGTGATGTAGGTTGTCCCTGAGATGCAGTGAAATGGAACAGGACATTGACTTAAAAATGGAAAAATATAAGCAGTCATCTGTCCAGGCTTGCAAAGCACCATCAGTGTGAGATCCTGTGTGCAGAATGTGAATTAGAGATGGAATAATTGCTTGAGTAAACACAGCAGGAAAATGGGAAAGCTTAAGGAGGACAGGGGGATATTACAGCCTTAAAACTACGATTGGCAAAGAAATCTCTTGTGTATGAGGTCCGGAAACCAGCACACCTGTGCAGCCTTTGGCAATCCTGATGGTGCAGAGAAGGGGTAGTTCATCAGGAATGATGGAAAATGACCCATCTGCACCATAAATGTGCCACTTGCACTGCCTCTGTGCTGCCTCTGCCATCTCCTCTCTGCAGCTCTCACAGGCTCGCTTCCAGCCATCGTGAGGTGTGGGTGCCACTGGGATACAACTGTCTCATAAGAGAGGTGCTCTGAGGCACCAGGGTGACATTCTGCTGGGTGCAGGCATCATCACAGCATGTTGTCAGCTCCAGGACACACTCAGGGGAGCCATCCTTTGGCTAGCTGCAGTGTGGACTGGGGGACAAGAGCAGGAACCAGGGCACCAGCTGCAGCACTGGGAAGAAAGGAGAGCAAGAGAAAAGCAACCACCTGGCAGCAAGTCATCATGCCAGACCTGCAAAGGCAAAGCGAGGTGAGCATTAAGCCTGTGTGATTAGAGAGCTGGCCACCTGCCACAGCTCAGGGCCAAGAGGATTATTGGATGCACACAGGCTCCTCACAGCTACTGGGTCATATGTGCTTAAGCTCACCACAGAGAACAGAAGGGTTGGGGCCTGCCTGGAGCCAGGTGAGTAAGGAGTGATAAGAATCTCACCCATCACCGGCTTTGATTTCCTGGAGCCCTTCTGGACTGTGAGGGCTTACAGCACAACCCAGAGCTGCTGCAGAAATATCAGGAGTTGGTATCAGTTTGCTCTTACACCAGTGACCCCATCTGCCTAGAGTCAATTCTCTAGATTCCAGAACTCAGGCCTGCTGATGGATTTGTCCCTCTCAGCAGCCACTGCAGCTCTGCTCCATCAGCAGGGAAGGGGATCTGACAGTGCTCAGATTTAAAGGGAAGAAGATGGTACATTAACTCCTCATATTGAAGCATTTGGTGTCACAGAGCAGAGCAGACTTGCCAGCCTATTTTAATTCCCAAGCGGATCAAAATTTAATCTGCTGCTACATCTCTGCCTGCCAGGGCCTGTTCTGGTCAGGGAGCAGTGCAGGGGCAGGCTCTGCAGCTGCAGCTCTCCCTCCAGAGACTCAGCAGCACAGCCCCCCATCTCCATCCTGCTCCCAACCTGCATGGCCACACTCATGGCCTCTCAGCAGCCCCCCTGGAGGTGGTAAGCACCTGGTGTTCAGAGAGCTGCTCCAAATGGTCTGCCAGGAAAGCCCCATGTCCTCCAAAACCAGTTGGATATGAAGTTATGAATGCCATGGGATGTGGTGGATTCAGATGGGCAGGGAGGCTGAGTCACTCTCTGCACTCCCAACACCCCAACCCACCAGCAGTGCATCCCTGGCATGACCCCAGAGCACATTGTCACCAGCCGAGTGGCCACAGCCAGGCCTCTACTGCAATGCCACCCTCACCACACACCTGCTCAGCATGGCTTGGGCCAGACACAGCAGGACTCAACAGCCCTCCAGCTCCCCTTTCAATCCAGGGGGGAATGGCAACAAGGAAATCACAAATCAAGCCTGGGGAGGAGATGCCCCAACTGTCAGGGCAAACCGCATGCAGCTGCGTCGGTGCTGGTTGCTTCCTTCCCCATAATGGTGCGTTATCACAGGCCTCTCAACAGCAAAGCCAGACTGCTTTTTGCTGATTTTCTCAAACTACAAAATGGCCCCTTCCAGACCAGTACAGGAGGGGAAACCCACCCTACAGCCCTCAGCACCTGACAGGCTTCACCAGGAACACTTCTCTCCCACTGTCTGCAGGATAGAGCCTGGGCTGCTATCAGAGCAGACTGCTGGGGCACCGGGTACAGCAGTGGAAACAGATGGTTTGTGTAGACAACACACACTGGGGCTCTGGCTGGGTGTTGTTCACCCACCAACTGATGGGCTGAGATGTGCACCAACACCAACAGAGCCTGGGAAGGGCAGAGGTGCTGCCCAGCAGAGGATGTGGTGCCATGCCTGGCAGCCTTGCTAGCCTGCATGGAGAGGGAGGCAGAGACTCCCCAGAGTGGGTGCAGAGTTGATGACCCTGCAGTGACCTGGTACCACTGCCAATAAACAGCAAGAGATGCCAAAACCAAGCACAGTCCATCTGCCTTAAATTAGGTTTTTTTGGATACTTATGTCAGGTCTGATTTAGACCAGACCAAAATCTGGAAAATCTTCTCATGGATGCAGCCCAGCTTCTGGTCAAGCTTCCTCTGCAGGCTATTGCTGGCATCTCCAGGAGGTATCATTTCCCAGACCTTTACTGTTTCCACTGTTCTGGAACTTGGCTACACAATCCCTCCCTGCACAGGGCCTGAAAGCAGGACCATGACAGGCTGCTGTCCTGCCCCCCCAGGTACCAGAAGCACTGGCTGGAGCTGGTTTGAAGCACTGCTTCACAGCTCCTGGCTTAGGCTCACTGTCCCAGGGGACAGTGTGAGGACTAGTGGCTCCAACTGGCAGGTTTTGGACAGGGATGTCACCCAGCACAGCTGGCTGGGACCCAGCACTGTTGTATACCTAGCCCACTAGCTTGTAGGGTCCTACTGAAGGGCCCGTGACCACAGGCCATTAACAGGAGATGCAGAAAGACCAACAGAAAAAAGTACTTAAAAACATTTAATTTAATATATTTAAAAAAATTCTGTAAAATTATAGAAAGGCAGATGAGGTTGGACATAAGTACAGCTACACTGAGGACATCTCACAGACACTCGAGCAAGGTATTTACACCAAACAGCATGGTCAGGGCAGTACCAGTTTGCTGGCAGTGCCATGAGTACCAGAACAAGTTGCAGTAAGTCTTCCTGCAGAGTTCCAGCCATGGCTGCCAAGTACAAGGGTGACACTTGGAAAGCAGGCAGAGGTGGTGAACACAGCCACCTTACAGACGGAATGAGTACAGCTGCACTATCATGTAGAGCCTCCTGTGCACAGGGAAAGCAACTATCATGGCAAGAGGGCTGTGCTGGTGTCACTGCCCCTCTGTGGGACTGGAGGAGGGCAGAGACCAGCCCTGGAGCACCAGCACTCCCATCCAGTCACGGGACTTCCCTGTGAGTGGAAGAGGCAGCACATGACCCAGCTCTGCAGTCCTGACTGTGTTTTGCCAGCGGGTAGGGTCAGAGACAGAGATACCAAATTAGGGAACAGTGTAACACCCACCCTATAATTTCCATTCTAAGTCCTCAGTTTCCTCTAATTGTACCCCCAGTTACCTGTCCACAGAGTTCCTAGTCATTTTCCTACATAATACATCCTGTGATTACAGTCACTCAAGCTTCGCAATATCCAAATAGAGCTTGAGAACATTTCAGGCTTTGGTACCACATGGATTGTCTACTATCAGTGGAGGTAGTTGGTAAGCTAATTGTTTCATAATCATCCAAACCTTAACATTAACATACAATGCAATTATCAGAACAAAAAGCAAAAGGATTAGCATCAGTAAAACAACACCAGGGTAAAGCACTCAGCTGAGAATTCTGGTAGCTGTAGGCACCCATACAAAAAGAGCGTCCCACCATCCTTGTTCTCCAACTTTCTTCACCCTCTCCATCACATGATGTATTTCTGCCATGCCATGATGGACAGCAATCAAAGTCCATTCTCCTGGGGTTGTTTCAGCAAGCCTCAGGTCTGTTTGTTGTAACAGTTCCTTTACCAGTTCATACCAATGGGAGTGGGCTGCAAGTCTTGATTTGGGTATAGTTAGATTCCAAAAATTGTCAGGATATAACAGGAGGTAAAAAAAATTAAAATATAAACAAAAAAATAAATAACTAAGATTCTGTCATTGCAATAAAGCTACAGGCACAAATATTGGAGTGACTACTTGTATCTTCAGTAACATTATCTACAAATACAAAATCACAAGAGATTCTCATACATCTTGTTGTATACAATCTCACAAAGTATACCTCTGACTTTCAGATCCTGCCCAATCATTTTCTGTAGGATATTTAGTATTACATCCAAAGCTAATTAATTAGCATTGTGAATGTTAATCCAAAATGCATCCTGCACAAAAGAATCCAAGCTCAAAACGAAAAACTCTTAGAGTCCTCTGAGTCTAGGGTTATCTCTGACGCTCCCTGGTTATGGAAACACACCATCCAAGAGAAAAGAGGTTCCCCTGGTCTTTACTTAAACTGTTCAAATATTTAATTTACTTCATGCTGAGTATAATCCTCTATAAGTATCCCTCCTGACCATTAGCATCTAATTCTACCTTTCATCTCCATGCTGGTCTCACATCTACAAATTTAACTGGGGAACCAACCTCATCAGAATCCACAGACTACCAAATATCTCCATTCCATTTATCAGAATCCCACTGCACACCTGCCTCTGCAATCACTGTATGCATTTTCTTGTGATTCATCTGCCCCTCTTTTCATGATACTGAGCTACTCTAAGTGCAGCCTTCTTGGCAAGCCTGGTAAATCCAACTTATCAGCAAGCAGCTTATTTTGGCACTTTAGCATTACAATTTGATCCTACAACCCACATCTGGCACTCCATGTTACAGCATTTCAACAACTGTTCCTTTTGTTGGTGTTTTGTTTGATATACTGTTAACAAAATCCATCCTTGCTTTCCCAAACCCACAAGTTCTTTTCCTTTTTTAGTACATGATTTTTGGATGTGTTTCAATACATCCAGCAGTTCAGCTTCTTTTAACTGACTTCCCCATTGCTCACATGGTCCTCCAACCTTAGCCCACTTGAGGGCCAGTGAACTATACGGAAGGTCTTCCCATCTGGGAATTTTGGGCAGGACCAATTCCTTTCACTTAGATTTTAAAAGCAATAGTTTGTTCTGACCCTGCTGACTGCACTTTGTTTTGCTTGTGGGTAGGGTAGAGACACACACCAGCTTAAGGAACAGTGGCATTTACTATGAAGTAAAACTGCAAAGAATCACAAAAGGATAAGCTAAGCAAGGCACCTAACCATGAGCAAAGATTTCCAAAGGGATAAGCTGAGCTTATCTATGCTAATCACTGCTACGAAAGAATGCCTACAGTGATAAAGAAAAATACATCACCAGTGAAGATACATCACCCAAGTCCAAGAGACATCAGCTGTGGGGGGAAGCTGTCACAGGCAAGGGCTGGAGAACCATTCCAGTAACTGGGAACTCCTGCAGTGCCTCCACCTTTGCAGGCCACGAGGCTCCTCCACTTTGCTCTGACAGTGGTCCAGCTTTTACAATGCTAAACAAACCAGCTGATATGATTTCTAATATAATTTTCCTGCCAGCTTTCTCCTAAAGCCTGGCCAGGGCTCAAGAAGGATCCAAGGGAATTGTCTTGGATCCTACACCCTCTAATTAGGCCGGATGTGGCCTTATCCTGTTTCTAGACACATAAAGGTGAACATGTTTTGCCAATAAATAAACACATAATACAATACTTCCTTAATGAGTTGAAACATACATTTGGTTGGAATGTTCATCCTAGGTCAGCTCAAGGCCTGTTGTTCAGGCCTTAGTACTTCACTTGGACTCACTCTCTGCAGGAAAGGGGATGGATGTATGCTCTGGATCATGATCTTGTCCCAAAGTAGCAAAGAGGTCCATGAAGCACTGGTCCCCAGGCCCTCAGATTGCAGCAGCCTCAGGGCTGAGGTCCAGTCCAGGATGGTGCAGAGGCTTTTCTACTGTGGCACAGGCTTTTTCTGCATTTTTCCCTTCCACGCTGTTCCAAATCCCATAGGTGAAGTAAATAATAAAACCTGCAGGACAGTTTCCATAATGAAATGTGCAACGGTGGGTTGTCAGCACTAACAGATCTCCAGGAGAGACCTGTGGCCATTGCACTCCCCACTGCAGGACACCTACCCAAAACCATGCAGACAGCAAACCGCACCCAGGTGTCTGCAGTCAGCTGTACCATCAGCAGGATGTTAATGAAGGTGCTGAAGATTGGCAGGAGTGGGAGGAAAGGTACCTGCAAGTGACAAAAAGTGCTGTGTCAACTGTGCCTTGAGGGACCAGGCTGGGCTTGAGGATGCTACTGGCCAGTGGAAGGACCTCCTCCCTGTCACAGGCCAGTGCACCCAGGCACTTCCACACTCAGATTGCACCTCAGAAAGATGCATTCCAGAGCCCACTGCCTGGTAGCAAGCCCTAGCAGTCCCTGCAGTGCCCAGATCCTGACAGAGTCCAGGGGGGTGCAGACATCAAGATGCAGGGGGCTGCACTCACTTTGAAGTTTAACCGTGCATTGTTCTGTGGCTGCCTCCAAATGATGATGGTGAGAATGAGCAGAGCCACGAGGAGCAGCACCAGAGCCACAACACAGCCCACACTGGCAACCTTCAGTGCAGCCACATTGAGGGTCAGGACCAGGCAGATGACTGTGATCAGTGTGGCTGCAAGAGAGAGGGTAATTGGGGGACTGCATGGCACATGGCCTCCCTGGGGCCCTGAGCCTCACAACAGCTGGGCTGAGGGACCCACTCCTCTTGGTCAGGTCCAGCACGCACAGTCTCTAACACCCACCCCAAAGCCTTAGGAAAGCACTTTGTTGGAGGCACATCCCAGACCAGCAAGCTGCAGGGAACCTGCACTTGGCTGGGGTTGGACCCAGCTCTGACATTTACCCAGCCCTGGCTGAGTCACCCCATTCTGGCTGTACAATGGAGCCATTGATAGACAGATCAAACCTCACTGGCTGAGCACAGGCATGCTCAAGGGCCTGGGGACTGCCCTTGCTGGTGGCCAACATGGGTCAGGCTCATCACAGGGATCTCTCATGACCACCTCCACATCCCCAGCTTAGTACCCACGTCCTCCGACAATGCCTGTGCACCCCAAACCACAGCTGTACCCTCCACTTGGCACCCTGCTTAGGGTTCAGCACCTGCTGGCACTGCCAACAGCAACTGGCAACCTGGCCCCTCTCCTCTGCCTGGCATGCTCTCCATCCTTTCCCAGCTCTGCAGAGACACACCAGAACACTCCAGCCCCTGGCAGGAGGGGACAGCAGCCACCAGTTTGCACTCACTCACCAATGACCACGACACAGACATAGACAATGCGCCCCGAGAGCACAGTGGGGGTGTCCCCAGGTGGGTTGAAGAGCATTTCCAGGGACAACGTCTCTTTGTGCTGGGCACTGGCAGCAGCGGTGGTCGGGTTCATGATCACTCTCTCCTCCTCGTTCCCATTCAGCTCCAGCATTTCCATGGCCTTCGGGGAGTTTGGCTGTGTGGGCTGGTACCTGAGCAGGTAAGACAAGCTTGCAGCAGAGCCCAAGGAACTTCCTAGCCCAAGGGAGCAGTCGGCAGCACCTTCATATCCCTGCTGCTCTGGCAGCCCATGACAGCCACTCCAAGAGACATGCCCAGAGACACACACACACTCTGGTCAGCAGCCTCCATCTTGGGGGCTTGACATTTCCCCAGGCTGCATGCCCCTGGGAAAAAGCTGTGGCTACAAGCCCCAGGACAATGTAAGGAACATCGACCCTGGGCACCGCCAAACACGAGGAGTCACCCACCGGAGGATGAGCACGCACACCGCCACCAGGGAGTAGGCCAGCAGCGTGCCGATCGACATGAGGTCCACCAGGTCCTTCAGGTCAAGCAGGAGGGCAAACACCGCTGCAATGAGGACACGCAGCATGAGCACAGCTCCAGACCACCTCAGGGCCGGGTGTGAGGAGGTGGCTAGGAACCTTACCTGCAAAGATCCCCGAGACAAAGGTGGCAATCAGAGGGGTCTTTCTGCCACTGTGGATCTGGGAGAGGAACTTGAAGAGCAGCCCGTCCTCTGCCATGGCATGGATCACTCGGGGCATGGGAAACATGGAGCCCAGCAAGCTGTTGTGGGGAGAGATTAGGCAAGCTGCCCACATCTACCACCCAGAAGGGGAAGGGACCAGCTCTGTGCCAGGAGCAGGACAGCAGCTGGACAGAGCAAATCCCCAGCCCAGCCAGGATGAATGCTGCCAGTCCCCATGCTGTGCCAAGCAGGGCCAGAAATAGAGCCAGTCCTACCTGGTGGAGAGAGCACAGAGTGAGCCAACAGCAACGGCGTAGCGGGCGGGCTCCCAACCAACTGCCTTGAAAGCCTCAGGCAGAGGGCTGCTCTTGTTCAGGAGGAAGTAGGGTACCATGAGAGTCAGGGATGCAGAGACCCCAAAATAAGCCACAAAGCAGATGAGGAGGGACACAATGATGCCAATGGGAATCGAGCGCTGTGGGTTCTTGGCTTCCTCCCCTGTTCAGACACAAGAGGCCACATGTGCCCCACTCAACCACACAGCATGGGGCAAGTACCCTCAGCAGATGAGCCAGAGTAGGGACTTTCCATGGCAGTACAGGACTGGGGAGCAGGAAGCAGGGGCTGTTAGAGAGGAGGGGTCCCTGGCCATGCTACTGCACTGGTAGAAGGGATGGAGCTGTCCAGCAACCCAGGCTTGCAGCCCTGCTGGCCATGCCAGCCCTTTCCCCCCCATCAGCAGCTCTCTCCCTACAGAGCCTGTTGAATGCAGGTCCCCCCTGAATGTGTGCCTCAGCTTTGCAAAGGTGTGCTGCACCACACTCCCAGCAAGGGGCTTGGCAGCAGGAAAGGAGGAGGCTGGGCAGCCCCTGGAGGCAGGGTGGCACAGCCAGGAAGGTCAGGCAGAACAGCCTGTACCAGCCACCCACTAAGTAGATTTCTGGGGTAATGAGAGGAAATTAAGAGAGCTGCCTGTGCTTCAGGAAGCAGCAGTTTTGCATGAACCCAGTCATTTGGAAAAAGGCTGCTTGAGGCTGGGAAATAACTAGGAGGCACCAGCAATTCCCAGCACTGTCACAGGCTCAGCTCAGCAGTCAAAAGCTTCCCCGCTGCTCTGGGAGCTGCCTGCGCAGGCAGGGTGCAGCCTTGCTCCCACCATGGGGTGTAATGAGCCACTTTTCCTGGGGCAGGGCAGGCTCTGAGCCCTTTTGTCTGGCCCAGCTGAAGACACAGTCTCCACAGGGAAACCTCCCAGGAGCAGTGAGACCAGCTGTTTTCCCACACCATATAGCATCCTCCCCATCAGCTCCCAGCCAGCTGCTGGCTGTGCAGTGGAAATGCCCGCGCCACCCCCACCCAAGGTAATACCTGTGGTGGCAATGCAGTCAAAGCCCACAAAGGCGTAGAAACAGGTGGCAGCGCCTGACAGGACCCCTTCCAGTCCAAAGGGGAAAAACCCACCATAGCCAAAAGCCTTTCTCCTGGAAAAAATGCAGGAGAGCAGCTGCCGTGAGGTGCAAGGGCAGCAGGGCCTATGCCTGCCCTATGCCAGATCCTGGCCTGGCACAGTTGCTCTACTTACATGTCATCTGGTGAGTCGGACAACGAGAAGTTGACACAGTCCTTCTCTGAAAGCTGCCAGTTCTTGATGTCTCCCTTGATGAAGCCAGCAATGATGACAAAGCTCAGCACCAGTAAGTTCACAGCTGTGAAGATTTTGTTCACGAGGGCAGACTCGCTGACACCAAAAGCCAGCAGAACTGTGGGGACAGAGGAAGTGAGACCCATCAGGCTCCCATGCCATCACCCATGGTACCATGGATCCGCTCTCCTGCATACCCACCAGTAAGCAGCAAAATCAGGATTAAAGCAAAGAAGTCTGGATGCTTGGCCAGCACTCCGGGCAGGTGCATCGTGATCTTGTTGGCGAAGAAGGTGGAGATGTGGTTGCCGATGATGTTGTCAAATGCTGCACTCCAGGCTCGAGCCACACTGGCTGTACCTGGTTGATGGCAAATCTGTGCATTAGTCCAAGCCCAGGGCAGACTGGCACCAGCCACCCGCACCTGAACACCCACCTCCCTGCTGATCCCACACCCTGCCCTCACAGCACCACACGCTGCCCCCAGGAGCCTCCCATGCTGCCAGCACAGTGCTGGAAGGAGCCCCACACAAGCTGCCTGGCCTCATACCTATCACATAGGAGAGAATGAGGTTCCACCCAGTTACAAAAGCCCAGATCTCTCCAACGGTAATGTAGGTGTAGAGGTACGCAGAGCCGGCCTTGGGGACACGGGCCCCAAACTCTGCATAGCAGAGTCCTGCCAGTACAGATGAGGAAGCAGCCACCAGGAAGCAGAGGACGATGGAAGGACCAGCCATCTCCTTGGCCACCTCCCCGGCCAGCACATACACGCCAGCCCCTAGCGTGCTGCCCACACCCAGGGATACAAGGTCCAGTGTGGAGAGGCAGCGATCAAAATGTGTGTCATCGGAGGTCAGGTCCACCATGCGCCGCCGGATCAGCTTCTTCCCAAAACTGGCCATTTTTTCCCCCAACATCTTGTCTTCTCAGTGAAGCTCACCTGGTCAAAAGCCCTGGAAGAGAAGAGAAATGTGAAGCTCAGTCTTTCAGGCAGCAGGACTCACACTGCAAGGCACAAGGTAAGTGATGATGCCCACAGGAGCCTGCTCCCAGCTTACCCATTGGCACCATGCCCCTGCCACACTGGCTGGCCAGAGACCACGGTGGTGGCACCCTCTAAGACACTGTGGTGCTGCACACACCCTGCCTGCACAGCCTTTGCACCAGGACAGTGAACCAGGGATGAACCCAGTCAGCCCATGGTGGGAAATGCTCATTATTCAAGCCCTGTGTGGTCTTGACCATAGAGCTCATAGGCATGTCCCAGAGCTTGCCCCATTTCCCAGGCTTGGCAGTCTGGAGATCCTTCATCCCAAACTTGACTGCAGGCACATTACTCCAGCCTGACACATGGGTGAGCACAGCAGCAAACGATGTGGATGCAAACTCCTCCAGCACAGGCTTTAGCAGGCTGGCTGACTCACTGGAGGCATCCATTCTTCTTTTGCTTTCAGCATTTGCAAAACATTCTTTACAAGGACGCATAACCAGACAGACACATGGCACGGGTCCCTGGTGCAAACCCCTTGCCTGCTAACAGTGCTTGCTGAGCATTCTGCAAGTTCTGCAGGCTGTAATCACCCTGAATCTGTGACATCCCCACTCTGCTTGCTCACAGCAGCCACCTATCTCCAAAAAGCTCTAAAGATGAGTAACCTGTGAAGCAGGCATCCAGCACAGAGGAGCTGTAAAGAAAGTGTTTCCCAACGCCCATGGCCATGGCTGGCATCTCCGCCCACCACTGAACCTCCCACCCACCAGTGTCTTCCCCCTGCTGGCTTCTCCTCCCTTCATCGGGAAAGGGAAAACACTCCATACAGATGCCCAGGACTACATGCCATACTACATATATCAGCCTAAAGTACACAAGGATAATTTTGTGACCCTTTTCCACAGAGAAGGTTATCAGGATTACAGCGGCAACCACCAGCTCGGCTGTTTCCCCATAACCAGCAAACCATCCTGCTTCTTGATAAACTTCATTCAGCCTTGACCCCAAGTGCAACAAGTGCCCCAGGACTAGCACCCTCCTCAACCACTACCTGGACAATTCCAGCTGCCTTCCCCAGCGCTGCTCAGCTGCTCCAAGTATTTCCAGTACCCGACTCGAGATCCGCATGGGTAGAGAAGCAACATGTCTGGCGGCAGCAGGAGCCACCCGCCGCATGCCGGTGCCTACGGCAATCCGGTAGCCGTCGCATCCCGCCGGGACTCGGTGTAGGTGTGGGAAGCTGTTAGCTCGGACCTCCGCCTCAGCCCCCGCGGGGGCATTTTCGGTCCCAAGGACTGCCAGTAAGGCTCCGTGCCGCCGCGGAGTCCGGCGACTCCCCGAGTATGGCAAGATCCGAGCGGGGGGGCCCGGCGGCAGCTGATGCAACAGCGGCACCGCTTGCGCCAAGCCCTGCCGGTCTGGCGGCAGCGCAAACCACCACTCACCAGCGGCGCGGCTCGTCCGAGGTGCGATCCCCTTCAGGCCAGCTCAATTCCCCTCCGTTCACTTCTGCAGCCGGCAGCATAAAGGAGGAAGAGTTTCACTCGCGATCGATTTGTACAAAATGGGAGGCGTTCAGCAGCTCCCGCCCAAAGCCCCAGCTACAGCTAAGAGGAGGGCAGGCAGAGGCGAGCGGGAACAGAATCCCGGCTCCTCCCAGCCCCACTCGCGTTCCCGCGCACATTTCAGAATATTTAAGTTCCAGTAACAAGTGGCACCGGGGCGAGGAACGGCTCGGCCAGCGGGAGTGCGGCTGCTGCGGGCGGCATCTCCGAGACCAGGGCAAGGCACCTCGCTCCCTCGGGAAAGGCCAAGGAGAGGGCGGCTGAGGGTGTCCCGAGCCCAGATGTGCCATGAGAACAGAGCCTGGCCCGGCCTTGCCCCGGCGCGGCTGGGAACGAGGCGAGGCGGCGAGGCCAGGCCTGCTGCAGGGGCTGCGAGCGAGCGGAGCTCAGCCCGTGCCTTGTGGGGTGACTCTAGCCCGGCCTCCGTACGCTCCGCTAAAGCCCCCTCAGCTCTGGGAGCAACACGCAGCCCTAAGTGATGGGAAACGCCAGTCTTAGGGGAACGGCTCGGCAGCCAGGAGAGAGGCAGGGGCCAGCACCAACCTCTCCAGCACTCGGGCTGGGAGCCGCCCCTCAGCAGGCCGCGCCTGATGCAATCCAGTGCTTGCGTGTCGTGAGCGCCCATTCAAAGTGGCAGAGAGGTGAGCCAGCCCCTCGCCGGCATCACTGGCAGTACCCTGCTCCGGCAGCGCTATCGAGGCAAAAGGCTTTTCAGTCGCTTGCGGAGCGGAGCGGGCAGGAGCGCCATGCAGCTGCCTCCCCCGCACCCTCCGGGGGTCAAACGCCGGGAGGATGTGGAGACGGAAACACCAGCTCATGCTTCTGAACGGGAAGTCACGCAGGCTCTGCCCCCGCTTACTCAGAATTTAGGGCTGCGGTTCAGCCAAGCTCCTCTCCTCCCTTACCTCACGATGAAGGAACTTCCAGGCAGCATGAGGTTCCATCATGGCTGTTCCTACTCAGACACTTTCTACTCCTTCCAGGCCTACCAGCTGTAGGCAAGGACTCAGCTGGGCAGCACCATCGCCGAGAACGTTCTCGGGCAGGGTAGGCAGCATCACGGGCACAGCAGGACTCCGAGCAGGGTCACCCTGTCTCAGACAAGCAGATACGGGGTACCTAGAACAGTGAGGGGGCAGACTACATGATTTGCCTGTTGCCAGAAACCTTGCAACATCAGGCGCTGGGAGGCAGTTTCCAGAAAGCGGCAGCATCAGGACACCAGAACACGCCTCCAGCTCCCACATGTGTCTTCCCAGTGTCCCATCCTCACCTCCCAGTCTTACTGCTCTCCATTCCCATCATTCAGGGCCCTGATCCAGCAGCACAGGCCAAGGGCTGGGAGCAGGCAGAGGCATGGAACAAGCCAAGTGCACGTCTCAACAGGAAGGCAAACAGGAAGGCACATTGCAGCCGGCATCAAAGGAGAGTAGGAGATGGCTCCAGCCCATAAAGAGGGCCAGAAGCCCTGCAGAAATAGATCCACATCAGTCCTTGGATGCCCCTGCCACCTTCCACAACTGAAGCATTAGAATATTTCAGATTGGAAGGGACCTATAATGACCATTAAGTCCAGCTTCACCCACAAGTGCCTCTCTATTTACAAATAATAAATCTAGCAGGGCACTTTTTCTAGTCAACTCCCTTAGTACCTGCACCAAGGAGTTATCTTCACCAGGCATGTATAGGGAAAATAACAGCTTGTTGGGGCTCTGTGCTGTAGATTGTGCCAGCACTGAAGCTGCCCCAGCAACCAAGTGCCAAGCAGGGGTGGGAGACAGCTGACACAGCTTCCCAGGAAGCAGTGCCCCAGGAAGGGCTGTGGGCTGCCTGTGAATGTGCATTCCAAGGCAGCCAGAACACCAACCAGAAATATCAGAGGAGCATGAACAGGCCAGCCTTACCAGCCCAACCTCAGGGCACTGCCAGCACCAGACAGCAGGACTCTCCAGCGCCTCACCCAGACACAAGGCAGAACAACAAGGTGACTGCATCAACCAAACACAGAGAGAAGGCAGCAAAGCAGGTCTCCCAGTGCCAGCATGGAGGAACAGGGAGGGATAATAAAACATTAATAAATAACCAAAGGCTGCAGAAACCCAATGTGCCATCAGCCAGCATTGGCTTTTCCCACATCCAATGTGAAGGTGGTCTAAGGAAGAAACCTGCCCACACAGCTGCCCACAACCACCACATCCAAGCATCCCACCTGGGAGCATCAGTTTTGTCCAGAAATGCTTCCCCAGAGCTATACTAAAGTATAGCTTTAGTATATAACCTCCATCCACCAGCACCTAGCTCCTCCTTGTAACAGACCTCAGATCTCTGGCTGAGCAAAACCAGCTGTAGCCAAACACTGACATGCCCTGCTCGCCCAGTACTTTGGGGATCAGTGGGCAGCACTGGCAGCATTGCCTCTACCCAAGCAGACAGCAAGCACTACTGCAAAAGACATCTTTATTTTACATATAAGGAGTTAGATAATTAATTCATTCAACAGCTCCACATATATCACTGCCCCAGAGGCTCACACAGCTGTTGTCTGTCCCCATGTCCCAGCTGTCAGTTTCTCCCCAGGTCACCTCTGTCAAACACTGCTGCATCTTTTACACAGATTCCTGGGAAGCAAGAGCAACATCAAAGCAGTAACACTTCTGGCACTCAGCACCTGACCCCTGGGAAAGGCCATGAGCTGTACTCCTCCCACCTTGCAGCCCTCAGTTACACCAGCAAGGGATCACTGGAGCATCCCTGCAGCCTGCACAGAAGTGAGGGCTCACCACAGTGAGGGCACATACCTGCTGCTCTGAGCTGAGCCTGCAAGGAGAAGATTGTCTGCTGATAGGCTTCACACTGGGCAGTCTTGTCAGCTGCAGAGAGGAGGCAAGAAGATGTGTGCTCAGCCCATCCTAAATACCTCATGACTTTCTAGGGCAGCAGCTGAGATCCTGCTCTACCCCCTAAACATGAAGCCAGCCCCACTCCCATGAAGCTGCAGGCCCTGGGTTCTAGGTACAAGCACAGGGGATGTCACCTGGATTGCAGGTGTCCTGCAGTCCTCAGAATAGCCAGCTCCACATACCAAGTTCATCCTTCACTCGCTCCAACTCTTTCTTCACATGCTCCAGTTCCTGGGACAGCTGATCACCTGCAGACTGGCAAGAGAAGGGTGCAAGTGTGATGCAGGGAATTGTCACCCCCATTACAACACTGCCACAGCACAGCCCACCCTCTGGAGGAGCATTGCAGCCCATCCAACACTCCCAACCCAGCACTCTGGGGACCACTGCCAGGGCACATCCATCACAGGAGTGGTGCATGGAGAAGGAGCCGCTGTATCGAGCATCTGCCAGCACCCATGAGAAACAAGAATGCCTTTGGCTAGCTGCAGCCACAGAGTGAAGAGCTCTAAATATGCTGGAAAATGCACAAGCTTATTTTGCAGGTAGGAGATTTCCTAACTTGGAGATTCATCTTGTAGGCTATGCACACCCCATCCTAGGGCCATGTCCTACATGTCAAGACACATAAAAGTGACAACATAAGCCACAGGAAGTTTGCATGTTTCAGAAGACCCTTAGAAAATCTAACTGGACAGAAACCTGCAGTCCCCTGAGCATGGAGAGGTGGTAAAGACATGCAAAAAATCCCCATGGTCTTGTGCAAACCCCAGGGAAAGGCTGAAACAGCTCAAGTGCCAGCCAGAAATTGGCAGGTCCAGGTCTCATCATCTCCCACCTCTGGCATAGCTGGCCCAAGCCAGAGACTGAACAGTGCTCCATGGTGACAGGATACAGCTGGCTCTTACCTGCTCAGCAGGTCCTGCATCTTCACGCCATGAAGTCAGGCCAGGGGCCAACTCTCTGGACAAAGAGGACTCCACACACAACCATGTCTGGTCCATCCTTGGCCACTCTTCAACCTGGCCACAGGGCTGCTCCAGATCAGGGAAGGACAGAACTTGTCCAAGAGAGTCAGAAGTTTCCCAGCACTTCCAGCCCAACAGCTGCTGCTGGCTTGGCCTGTATGGGTGCTGCTGGGAGAAAGTGCCCCTGCATGGCCTTGCTCCCAGCAGCTCTGGGCTCCTGCTAGGAATCTACTCTCCCAGTGAGGGCAGGCAGCTGCCCGGGCAAGGTGGAACAGGGCTGTCCCAGTAGAGGAGAGTCTCTTCACTTCCCCTCCCTCTGTGCAGGGCTCAGGACTGCAGGCTGCCCAGCTGCAGTTTCTGTGAAGGCAGCACCCCCTGCCTGCAGCACAGGATGGAGCATCCACAGCACACCTGGTCAGCCAGAGCCCATCAGGGGAGGGAGCAGCGTTGCCCAACAAGCAGCTTCCCACGTTTCCCAACACAAGGCAAGAATCTACAACTCCATATTGCTCACCTGCACCCAAGACAATCCTTGCTGCAACCTGCTTTTCTTTGCTCTCACCATTTTCCTTCAGCTCTTGGGTCCTATTGCACACCAACTCCTGTGTAGTTGATCCTGAAGTGAGACCCAGGAAAGGAAAATAAAGAGCATCAACCCTTGCTAAGAGAGTGCCCTGACCTGACCATGACGACTACCTCTTCTATAAATGAGCCTCAAGCACCAGATTTATTCAGGCTCTTTGCTGGATGCCTCTCCAGCAAAAGAGGGAAAGGACTTCACCTAGCCTTGCTTGCTCTGCGCTTCACCTTCCCTCCTCAGAGCCCAAGCACATGCAGTCCCCTTCAGTCCTTTCCCCAGGATCAGCTCTGACCCCGCAGCCAAGACCTGAATGTTCTTCCCATGGCAGCAGCACTCCTCTCCCATGACTCTGCATCCTCTGAGGCTTCTGCCAAGACTCACCTTTATTAAGGCAAAAACGCTTGGACGAAACCACTTTTCCCGGAAGCCGCAGTGAGGAGCGGGAAGCCATAGGAATTGCTGTAGAGAGCCTTGAGGAGAGCTGTTTACGACTCCCAACCTTGACAGCAGCTGTAGTGGACAGTAAGCAGAGAGGCCGCCATTCCCAAGCAGCTCCATCGCACCCTCTTCAGGCGGCCCGGGGCTCAGCCAGGCTGCCTGACCTCGGTGCACAGGCACCACTACCCCAAGCCCCCACAACACCACGGGATAAAGGCTCCAAAGCCAACAGGCTGCCAGTCCATACTGGCGGAAGCCAGACAGTGTTTTAACACATCCCTCGGGGTATGAGAATATTTCCTAGGCTCCTACCTGTGCCACTCCCATAGACTCCCCGCTCCCCATGCCCTGTCTTCAGCCAGGCTGCAGCCCAAGCCCTTTCCCTTCTCCCTTCTCGATGCAGCACCCTAACACTCACGCGCTTCCGTGCTTCGCGTGAGGCAACTGGCAGGAGCGGAATTACTTCTCATCTCTCTGTCCCGGGGAGCAGGTTTGGGAAGGCTGGAAGGCTGTGCCTGCTGCGAAGCCCCGCTGGCATACTGAAGCCTGGACCTGGCAGGCGACGTCAGCTTCGGCCTGGTCGCTGGGGGAGAGAGAGGGACCTGCAGCGCCGGGCGGGCGGTGGCCGAGCCG